TTGCCAGGGTGTTCTCGGGACCTCAACACACTGCTGTCTTCATCAGACAGTCTGTCTGCAACACAGAGGCTTGACCTTAAGGACACGATTTCTGTGCTCTGATAATCTGGATCCAACTACGAGCATGGGGTTCAGACTGACTATAGACTTGGGCAGGCAGATGCACACACAAACCTAAGTGGGTGGCAGACTGCCTGGGTTCCTAGAAGTTACTGTTTTAAATGCTAATTTAATTAGAGGGGAGAAAAGTTGTAATGATTCAGGTAGCGAGCACCTCCACCAATAGATGGTGCTATATCCTTCTCTCAGTGTTGTTTTGGATATTGTTGGGGGTTAGCAGAACCTTCAGTCCTACCTGTGTGTACTGGAGTAGATAGTTGCAGTGTCCCACTAAACAAATCTCTGTAATTCTATGTGTGACTATTCCAGTATCTTGTAAATTTAAAGTCCTTTTGAAATTTACAAGTCCCTCCTGTCTTCTTTCCGGGCTTCCTCCCTTCACTGTTTCTGAGTCTACAACCCGTATCTCCCATGCTACAACCATAGTGTGACAGGACACATACGTATTTGGCCTGCTCAATAAACCCTTAGAAATCCTTACTGTGATAGAAAAGTTACTGCTCAGGCACAACTCAGAAAGGGGTGGGACTGAGATAGAAATTATGGTCTTGATGCAGAAATCACTGAGTTGATGAGTTCCCAAGAGCAGGAGAATGAACTTTGGATTGGTTTACGACCCAGCCATGTGATTCCAAGAAGGACCAAACCTCATCCAAAGTCAGCAGTTTCCTCCATTTACCCAGTTGCTGAGATATGTATAGATAAACTGGTCCTTCCTCTGTAGGGCCTGAGACACCTTGCCTTGGCAAAAACAACAGGAACCATGGCCAGACCAAAAGGCAATGCTCTGACTTGCCAATGAGGGTCCAGAGAAAAGTAGTGAAGAAACTTCCCGGGGGTGGATCAGATGTATAGTAATATGCATTACAATAGCTGGGAACCAAGTCAGAAACTCCTGTAGGATGGCTATGAGCAAAACCTCCTTTCAGAAAAAGTCCTCAGGGAAATGAGTTAACGTTTTAGGTTATGTTAGGATTATTGGTGTTTTTCTGAGCTGGTCATTTGTGGGTAGGAACTTAGTCTACCGTTTCATGGCCTATCTTTTGTTTTAATGGGCCGCTTAGAGCAGGGAAGTGATGAAAGCCCTGCCGGGAGGATAAACAGAACTTGAGAGTAGCCATACGGGCCAATCTCGGCCACCCTCTGATCTGAAGTTATGCAAGATCACACTTGTGTGGCAGCCTGGAGCTTGGTCCGTGTGAAGGTTGATACAAACCTCCATCCTTTCAGCCAGCTTTAGCTCTTAGGCTGTAATATTTGCAACATTAATTGAGGGAATGGTGACAAGATGTCATAAAGAGAAACCACTGCTAAATTCAGGAAGGGGGCTAAAAGGTCATCCCTGCTGTCCTCAATATACTAAAGCCATGGCTGTATAAACCCCAGGAAATACACTCATCATTTTATGCAAGGAGATTCGCCCTCAGCTCTTGGTAAAATGTCACTGTTTTAAAGGTTAATACAACTGAAACGTCCCAAGGGCTTGGTGAAAAAAGTGATAGGACCAGAAAGTCAATTTAGTGATGGCCAAGAGATTAAATTTAAATGTTTTCATTATGGTGTATTTCTGAGAAAAACAGATGAAAAAGCTTGATTGAATCTAGTTGTTAGTTTCAAACGTAGTTGGAGTCACATTTGTATTAAGGGAAAAGCATCCACCTAGAACACACTGTGGGACTTGTCCCCTGTCCCCAGTGAACAAGAGTTTGCATATCCCTTTGTCTCCTGTATATAATATAAAATAGGCCTAGAGGTAAGCCCTACTGCCCCCGCCCCCCGATGTGATCACTTGTGTATCTTACTGATCACCAAGTGTTTTACATGCTTCAGTCAGCCTCACTTTTAACTCCACACACCGAGGATTCTGGCCTTAAAGTGAGACTCTTCCCAGAAGAGAGGACGCATGCAAGGACCTGTGCCTGTTCACTTCCACAAAAGGGCAATGGAGCCAGACCTCCACACCCCATACGCACAGCACTAATATTCTGCTTTGACCTTAACAGGGAAAACAGGACGAGGCTACTGCCAGGGGGCCGGCCAGTCATTCTGCCAGCTCACCATTCTGGCCATAAGATAATCCCCTTTATACTCCCCCTCTTCCAGATGCCCACAAGCCACCCAACTATTAGGGGTTTTTTGCCAGGAAGTGGGAGTTTACTTCACACATACAAGCTGCCCACTGACTTCCATGGGACTCCTCATATACAAATTGAATGTTCAACTTTAGGTGACCCAGCCCTTCCCACTACCTGAAGAGATTCCCTAAGGTGTGATTGCTGAGATGTCTGTCTTCTCCTCTGACCACGCCCCTTTCCCTCAGAATATCGTCAAGGGCTGTTTTCATTCCACGCCGGGGCATCTTTAACATAAAGCACTGATTTAATCATATTTTTGAAATATCCCAGAATACAAAACTCTGGAAAGCTTTTAGTTTTAATGAGAACATTTTCTTATGAATACAACTTTTATAACTGTTTTAAACCCGGACACTGACCTTTCCCCCCCCCTAAAAGCTGCCACTCCTGCACAATCACCATTTATAGGGAAAAAAATATTTTAACTAGTATTTATAGGATACTCTTCATCCATCTTACAAGTACTCTTTAGGCAGGATTTCTTTTAAGCTTCATTAGGAAACAGTGTGTTTGCTTATGTTACATATAGCTAAAAAATCTGAAATAGCTGGGACATTGAAGAGTTTAAATATACAACGTCTACAAAGTTTAATGTTAAATATAAACAAGCAGGTATCAGACTTTCATATGAAACAGACACTTGTGGCACCAGCCCTTGCAGGAGAAGTGGAGTTAAGTTTGCAAATCATGTAACATAAGTGTCCTCAACAAACCAGCCTTATACAGATTTTAAATAATGTTCAGTATTCATGAAGAAATGCCTATTTGGTTTTATACACTGGCTTTTCTGGTAAGTGAAACAAAATTACATCCTTAAGAATTTCACTTGTACACGCACTGTGGAAACAATTGCACAGTTTTAAAGTGGTTTTTTTTGTCTTATATAAGCCGTGTTGGATAGTTGAACTGACCTTGTAGACAGTTTGCAGCTATTTTTTGGTCCAGTCCGAAGAGGATGGAGCTAGGTTGTTTTCAGTGGTGGCAGATGACAGAACAAGAAGCAATGGTCTCAAGTTGCAGTGGGGGAGATCTAGGTTGGCTATTAGGAAACACTATTTCATTAGGAGGGTGGTGAAGAACTGAAATGGGTTACCTAGGGAGGTGGTGGAATCTCCTTCCTTAGAGGTTTTTAAGGACCGGCTTGACAAAGCCCTGGCTGGGATGATTTAGTTGGGGTTGATCCTGCTTTGAGCAGGGGGTTGGACTAGATGACCTCCTGAGGTCCCGTCCAACCCTGATATTCTATGATTCTATGAAATCATAGTCAAACTGTCAGGATAATGCACCAACACCAAAGAAAATCAACTGAACAACAGTCTTGAAAATGCTTTATTGAACGGTGTGTCTTATTGTAATGTGCAGAAGATGTGTTTGAAAAGACTACAGCTTGAAAATTGGTTCTGAAAATCCTCAACAATCAATAAAAAAATCCCTCCCGGGGGTAACTCCTAATAGAACCAGAGGACTGGTGTAAAATTTCCCTTAAAACATTTTCTGTTGCAGAGACTGAACGAAAACAAAGTTGTACTGTACTGGCTGGAAATACTTGGAATCTGAGGATTAAGAAAATGAGAATGAAACAAACTTCAAACTGTGGGGTGGTTTTTTTGTTATTTTAGATTAGTATACACGTCACAGTTCTGTTGAGAACACCAGCTGGTGTTCAAGTCTGTAATTTTATTCTAAAATGCTTGTAATGCTGCAGGAATGGAAGAGAAAGAGAAAGCGGGCGAGGTTAGAGAACTGGAGAGAGACATGATTATAGTATAAGCCTATTTTAAATTTATCAGAAGCTGTGTGCACTTTTGTCTTTATAGTCTAACTTTACATTCCAAAAAAACCAAACCCCTGCTGTCTTTGCATTGGGGCTATTATGAAAGTCTATGCACAAAAAACACTGTACATTTTTTTACATATAGGATTAATAGTATAGGCATGTAGGTGGCATGATTCAATTAAAAGGCTCTTTACTTTTTTTTTATGCCAGAAAAAAATAATCAAAGAGAAATAATAAATAAAAGGTGCTAAAGTTAGCATTAAGAATTCAGTTGTAATATATTGACAAAGTCTGGGAAGTCAAATCCTCAAGCTCTCCTGATACTGACAAGTCTCTGCAAACTATGAAGCAAATACATAAATAACTCAAAAATATGATTGAGACTGTGAAGGCTTTTAAAACTAAGACAACATAATCCAGGTTAATTTTTTTTTTTTTTTTTTTTAAAGACAGTGAATAAATGAATCATCTACACCTGAATAAAACATGTTTAACAGTTGAAAAATTTTAACAACCACAAAAAGGAAAATCTTTAAACAAAGATGAACAAGATTTGATTTGAGGGCACACAAAAGCCCTTTGCAGTAGATTCCAGCAGTGGCATTACTGTTGTGTCTCCTACAGATGCATAAAAGAGAAGCTGAACTCCACATGGACGTGATGACTAATATGACAACATAATAGTCACATATAGCAAAATGCCAAACCCTGGAAACAACAATCTATCCCACTGCAGAGCTTGCTTTATGTGCTGAAACACATAGAAATAGGTGATTCAGTCACATATTATTCAAAAGCTACTTCATGGCTACAAACTGCTAGTGAACACAACCTTTTTGTCATGTAACCTTTGAATAATGGGAAAAGCTTTGGGTTTTTATAGTTTCACTCCTTGTATTTAATTTTTTTAAATGACAAGGTCACTAAAACTCATGCACGCTGCAAAAAACCTCATGCAGTAGTTAAGGTAAACCATCCAAGCAGTTTTTATTCATTAATATTCATAAATACACACAGCAGCTTCATTAGAGATTTTTCATTTTTTCCTCTTCAGTTTGAACGTGGAGTATTAGGAGAGCCTTTTGCATGTCAAGGTACAGAACACAGAGGATTCTCCTCTGCACTGCAACCTACATTTACCTGCTAGAAGTAAAAATTAGTTAAGTGGAAATGATTATCATATATATCTTTTCTCTCTTCCTTTTGAATGTACACAATGTAACAAGAGTGACAGACCTGAAATTACAATCACCAAAACAAACCCAAGATAGTAGTTGTCCACTTTCATTGGCAAATACAGCACAGAGGACATTGTCTGCGAAGTGGGATGTCATCAAAGAGGAGGTGGAGGAGGCTCGTTTCCTTTATTACTCTCTTTTAAATTTAGGTTTTCTAAAGCAACATCTAAAGGCATAATATCTACACAGCCCATAGCACCAAAATCGGCAATTTCCCCCCTCTCATCCTCATCTGAGGAGGAACTTTCTTCCCGCATCAAAGTGGACAGTAGAAGCTCTTGAACAAATAGGCTACGGTCTGCCCGTTCGCTTTCCATTGACTGACGCTCTGCTTCTGACATCTTAGGATCATTCAACCTGCACAACAGTGAAGGGAGAGACAAGACAGGCAGTTGATAAAAACCACTGGGCTGAAGACATTATTACACAGCAAGAATGCTCTCATCTGCTGGACTGACACACACTGGAAGGTGTTTGTGACCATACCTTGGGAACCGGCATATGTATTGCTATCCTGCTTTGGAGGCGGACAGATCTGACAATGACTGACATACCTGATCCAACCAAAATAGACATTTCAAAAACCTTCTGTTTCAAGTCACAACAGTCTGCACAGATTGGATTGATAAAGTGGAGAAATTAAATTCTGAATGCAAACAACATGGCAACTTGCACTACTAAATGTAAAAAATTCTATTTTACATACTCTCTGAAAGTCTAACTGCAAAGTCTGTACATACCAGCCCTTTGATTATTTCTAAAATATTTTAATTTATGTCACATACATTTGATCTCTAGAGGTCAGATTTTTTGGTAACAGGTAAAACTCAGCATGACAGCAATAAATTATTTGATATAAACTTCAAGTTTCTGCCATAGTTTTCCAGCAGACAGAAGCTGAGAAAATGCTGCAGAGGAGAATGTATCAATTTGGAAGCCAAAAGATGAAAAAAGTAACAGGAACTTGAAAATCCAGAAGGCCTGTATATTACAATGCCTTGAGCATCCCAAGAGAGCTGGAATCACACAAAGATGATGGGCCTTTTTTACAGAACCACCCCGGAGTTTAATGTTTTCTAAAGCAGTAGTATTTATTAATGACATCTTTGTTTACTGCATTTTTCTTCTATTCTCACCTAAAATATAATAAAATATCTAATGTACATGAAAACAACCCGGTTACCTACTTTCATAACTGTTGTTCCTCGAGATGTGTTGCTCATATCCATTCCATTCTAGGTGCACACGCGCCCACGTGCGTCGTTGTCGAAGTGCCGCACTCATGCTGCGGTATATCCAGCGCCGCCGACCCTATGCCCTCTCAGTTCCTTCTTACCGACAACGTCAACAGAGGGGCAGGAGGGCGGGTAATGGAGCAACACATCTCGAAGAACAACAGTTACGAAAGGTAGGTAACCGTTTTTTCTTTGAGTGCTTGCTCATGTCGATTCCATTCTAGGAGACTCACAAGCAGTATCCCTGCTCGCAGGCTCAGAGTTCACAAAGCGAGCATTGTCTCAGGCTTGCTGGGTGAGTGCATAATGAGACGTAAACATGTGGAGAGACGACTAGGTAGCAGCCCTGCAGATATCCTGAATCGGCACCTGGGCCAGGAAGGCTGCCAACGAAGCCTGCACCCTAGTCAAGTCGGCAGTCACAGTCGCTGATGGAGGCACCTTTGCCAGGTCATAGCAGTAACAGATGCAGGCTGTGATCCAGGACGAAAACTTCTGCGCAGACACTGGGTGACCTTTCATCCTGTCTGCCACTGCAATGAACAACTGCGTTGACTTACGAAACGTCTTGGTCCTGTCGATGTAGAAGGCAAGCGCTCTCCTGACGTCCAGGGCGTGCGATTTGCGCTCCTCTTCCGATTTATGAGGCTTTGGAAAGAAGACAGGTAAGTATGTGTCTTGGCCAGTATGAAACTGTGAAACTACCTTGGGCAGGAACACTGGATGAGGCCACTGCTGGACTTTGTCCTTTTAGAACACCATATAGGATGGCTCTGAAGTAAGCGCCCTGATCTCAGAGACCCTACGGGCGGACATTATTGTGACCAGGAAAGAAACTTTTCAGAAGAGGAGGAGAAGGGAGCAGGAAGCTAGAGGCTCAAAGGGAGGACCCATGAGCTGCAACAGCAGATGATTCAGGTCCCAGGGTGGGATGGGATCCCTGACATGCGGGTAGAGATGCTCCAGACCTTTCAACAAATGGACTGTCATGTCGTGAGCGAAGACCGACCTGCGCTGGAGCGGAGGGTGGAAGGCCAAAATAGCGGCCAAGTGGACTTTGATCGATGATAGGAACAACCCCTGGAGCTTGAAGTGCAGAAGATAATCCAGGATAGCCTGCAGCGAGTCCTGCTCAGCCTGGATACCCCAGTCCAACGTCCAGCCCGTGAACCTCTTCCACTTGGCCAGGTAGGTCGCTCTGGTGGATGGCTTTCTGCTACCCACAGGACCTGTTGGACCTGGACCAAGTATTCCAGTTCTTCCACATTTAGCCATGCAGAAGCCACCCTGTCAAGTGCAGCGCCATCAGGTTCGGATGCAGAAGATGGCCGTGGTTCTGGGACAGCAGATGTGGCCAGAGAGGCAGCTGCAGCGGGGTGGCTAGCAAAAGGTCCATCAGCGTGCCGAACTAGTGCTGCTGAGGCAACGCAGGAGCTATCAGGATCACCTTCGCCTTGTCCTATTTGATCTTCATAAGGACCTTGTGAATTAGCAGCACCGGTGGGAAGGCGTACATCAGGACCCCCCAGCCCCCAACCTCGGGAGCAGAAAGGCATGAACAGGTCCACCTGGGGAGTCCCCCACCTCCGGAAGATCACACGGACCACTCCGGGTGGAGCGACCACTCGTGGCAAGATGAGAAGGTCCTACTGAGGTGATCTGCTACCATGTTCTTGGCCCCAGGCAGATGTGCAGCCACCAGATGGACAGTATGTCGCTCACAGAAGTCCCAAAGGCAGAGAGCATCATGGCAAAGGGCTGATGACCTGGCCCTGGCCCTGCCTGTTGATGTAATACATCGCTGTGGTATTGTCTGTCGGGACCTGCATCACCTTGCCCTTCATGTGGGGCAGGAAAGCCTGGCAGACCAGGCGAAGCGCTTTGAGCTCCCTGACGTTTATGTGGAGGGACAGATCATCCCACGACCAGCGGCCTTACATGCTGAGTTCGCCCAGGTGGACTCCCCAGCCCAGGTCCGACGCATCAGAAACCAGGGTCAGCGATGTGGACGGGGCTGCGAAGGGAACTCCCTCCAACACCGATTTGGGGCTCAGCCACCAATCTAGAGATGATTGGATGTGAGCCGGTACCCTGATCACCCAGTCTAGATTGTGTCTGTTGGGCATGTAGACCAACGCCAACCACGCCTGCAGTGGCTGGAGATAGAGCCGGGCATGCTGGTCCACGTACGTATATGCGGCCATGTGGCCTAACAACCGCAGGCAGGTGTGAGCAGTGGTGAGCAGGCAGTTTTTCACATGGGAGATCAGGTCTGATATGGCCTGGAAACACGCCACCGGAAAGAAGACTCTGGCTCGTGTGGAGTTGAGAACCATTCCAATGAGTTCATTGGTTCTATTCGTTGCACCGGCCTGAAGGTCGATTTCTTTTTGTTTATCAACAGGCCCAGGTCGCGACAGGTGGAATAAACAAGATCAAGGCTTCTTTGCACCTGATCCCAAGATCTGCCTTTGATGCGCCAATCGTCGAGATATGGATAGACCTGAAGTTCTCCACGCCTGAGGTAAGCGACCACTGGTGCCATACCTTTTGTAAACACCCTTGGGGCAGACGAGAGACCAAAGGACAACGCCATGACTGGAAATGGCGCCCGCCTACCACAAAACGGAGGAATCGTCTGCTACCTTGGAAGATGGAGATATGGAAATAAGCATTCCTCAGATCGAGGGTGGCGTACCAGTCTCCCGGATCCAGGGAGGGGATGATGGAGGCCAGGGAGACCATGTGGAACTTCAACTTTTTGAGAGACTTGTTGAGGCGCTTCAGGTCCAGAATGGGTCTTAGACCCCCTTTCACTTTCAGGATTAGGAAATAACGGGAGTGGAACCCTTTTCCCCTCATGTCCCAGGGTACCTCCTTCACTGCCCCCAGCTGCATGAGGTTCTCGACCTCCTGAATAAGGAGCTGATTGTCAGAAGGGTCCCTGAAGAGGGACTCTGTGTGTGTGTGGGGGGGGGGGGGAAGGAGGGGCGAGAATTGCAGGGTGTAGCCCTTAGATACAATCTCTAGCACTCAACGGTCCGAGGTGACTCGCAACCAGGCCGAACGGTAGGGACGAATACAGTTGAGGAACTACGCCTCATGACCACCGCCGACGCGACCACCCTAGCTACCAAATCAGCCACGTCCCACGCCCTCTGGAAGGAGCACCGTGCAACCGTCGTATCCTTCTCCACCTGGGCCCCAAATTCCTGGGCCAATTCCTGGGGCAGTGAGTCCTTGAACTTACGGAGGGAGTCCCATAAATAGAAGTTGTACCTCCCCAAGAGAGCTGGAACTGAAAGGTGTCTGCCTGCTGGGCCATCTCCTCCACTTCCAATCCCAAATTCGTAGCCACCTTATGAAGCAGGGCCTGATGTTCTTTGAAATCGTCTGGCGGGCTCGTGCGGGAGGGGCCAGCCACCACCTTATTTGGGGATGAAGATGACAACTGAGTCACCGGGGGAGGCCCCGATGGATCATCCTCCACGTGGGAAGAGGGTTTTCGGGGTGGGCACATGCTCCTCTACCCCGGCCTCCAAGTGTGCCACACTTACCAAGCTCAGTGCCGCTGGTTGCTGTTCTGAGGCGGCGGCCGAGGAATGGACTGACTGAGGCATCAGCATCACAGGCTCCAGTAGGGCCACTGCACCAGCCACTGGCCTTGCAGCCTCAGGTGCCCATTCGCGTTGGTGCTGTCACGGTGAAGGGCTGAATTCCTTTCCGAACCAGAGGAAACACCTTCCGGTGACCACGGAGGGGCTGTCGAACTTGTGTCTCATGGTTAACAGTCGCCATGGGAGACCAGCGCCTCGAGTAGTAGGATCAGTTCCAGGGCCGGAGGGATCAGTACCACGACAGAGACCGCTCCCACAGCGGGGATCTGTGCCGAAGAGACAGCCAGCAAGAGCATGATCGGTGCCTTCCTCTAGACAACCTGCATGGAGAGGGCGGAGACCGTGAGTGTGGTGCTGGTGATGTAGGATGTCCCGCAGAAGACAGAGACCTTAGGAGTGGAGACGGGGATCACTGTCTCATCTCCAGAGACCGGCATCATTCACCCACCCTCTGGGAGGGGTCTTTACGACTGGCGTGCCCTCACCAGGAGCCTTTGCCATGACCTGCGGCACACACGATGCCGGCAGTGCTGGTAGAGGCCTCTGCTCTCTGCACGCCGGCAGAGCCTGGGAAGGCTTTGGCACTGGGTCCCTTACTGCTCCCTGGAGTCAGTGGACGATCCTTCAGGGGGCTAGGAGGCCCCATCGGGGGGGGGAGGGGGGGGAGGGTGGAGAGGTCCTATGTGGCTCCAGTGTGGGCTGTTGGCACGAACTGGGTCCTTTTCCCTTCTTTCTTGGTGCAGGGGAGTCACTCTTCTTCAACCTCTTCTTAGGCGGTACCAGGGAGCAGTGACAGGCAGAGCCTGGTGCCGGGGGTGCGCTGCACACTGAGGCTGAGGTGCTCGGGGCAGAGTCTGGCTGGGAAGGCTCGGACACCAGGCAGAGAGCAGCCTCCATGAGAAGGGCCCTCAAACGGATGTCTCGCTCTTTCCGAGTTCTGGGACAAAAGTTCTTACAGATGCGACACTTCTTCACAGGTCATTCCCCCAAGCATTTGAGGCAGCTGCTATGGAGGTCACTAACAGGCATAGATCTGTTACAGTCAGAGCAGGGCTTAAAACCCTTACGGCTCGAAGACTGAAGTAGAAGAACTGCAAGCCCTCGCGAGGCAAGGGAAAGAGGTGTTCTAATTAACCACCACGGGTGGTCAGAAGGAACTGAGAGGGCGTAGGTGCCTAATATACTGATGCATGGACGCAGCACTCAAGAGGGCATCACAGCTGACCCTACGGATACCGCTACGGCAAAAATCTCCAACGGCCGCGCATGTGGGCACGCACACATCTAGAATGGAATTGACATGAGCAAGCATTCGAAGAAGAAACTCTATTCAACCTCCAGTTTAGGATGAAACATTCATTTCCTGTTAAATACCATTTAATGTTAACTTCCAGGTTCTCTTTCTCTACATTAGAGTTCAAACAAATAGGCTGATATAATTGGAAATGCTCTTATTTTCCTGGAAGGAGTAATGTAAACAAGCACAATCAACAGGAAATTATCTAGAAGTAACTTCCCTTTATGCCTCTCAAACTGATGCTAGAGAACTCGAGAAGCAGTGAACAGTGTTAACATGGATACAGCAAGTGGACAAACATTGGTGTTTAAAATGAGATGAAACAAAAATTTTCTGTTTGCATTTATACTGTGGGGATCCAGTCAAAAATTCCACAGCTATACTTCGAGCACTGCGGCGTCTAGGACAACTGTAAGAATCAATTCCTCTACAAAGTCAGCAGAAAATGAATTTGTAAGTGGTAAAAATGGTTGTAAACCTTATGACTACACAAACCTTTAACTACCCCACAATTGTGTGGGGAAAAAGCAACAAGGTTATGTGAGAGAATGCCTCTCCCCTACACCCAGCACGGAAGCTAACTGGATACTCTTGCTGGCAACTTCTTGGGACAGTAGCTTCCAGGAGGGCTCTCTCCATGGCAGTCTGCAAAAGCTGGAAGCTGATTGCAAACAACATCTGTTTGACTTTAGTTCCTAGGTTGGCTTTTCATTTGAGTCTCATCTTTACTCCTGACAACATGGATGCAGCAACAGCAGTTAAAAGCCATTCATTATGGCTTGCGTTTCTGCAACCAGTGTTTTCATTTTGTACTAAGTGATTAACTACCATGGAAAACAGCTGATATCAATTACAAACAAACTGAACTAAATTAATTACTCTTATAGTGTGTATATATATAAATTATATTTAACCTCATTCTAACTTTTTGGGTGGAACAGATAGTGTATAATGCAGTGCAGTTTTACAGGCTATATGAAAAACACTGTTTTCAGACCAAGCACTTGCATGTTTAATAGAATAAATATAACTAGTGCCCTACTGATGATCATCCATTACTAGCACTAAGTCAAAGTGCAAAATCATTTTGCCAAGATTTCGAGTGTCTACAATTCAGAACTCCGTGGCACCTGCAGAACTGCTGAACACTACCGTATGCATTTTGCATGATCACCTATTGGCTAAACAAATTATTTTGGGCATTGGAGATTGAGGGGATATGGGATATTAAGCTGCAATTAAGTACGCCAACTAGGCATGGCACTTAAGCATCTGTTTAACTTTAAGCATATGAGTAGTCCCACTGAACTTAACGCGACAATTTATGGGCTTAAAGTTAGCTACATGCTTAAGCACCTTGTCAAATCAGGGTCAAGAATAGGGATAGTGCATGTAATAAAAGTAATCGGATTACGTTTTTAGAATGAGTTACCTTGTAAGAAGAAACTGGGAGTTCTGGATAGCCTGCTGACTATTTTCTGTGTTAGATGTGTTGGTTGTTGCTGTAGATTGTGTAATAGTGGTGGTGACACTGCTTGTATTGGTGCGTCTGGTTGCATTGCGTGCTGTCTCCAGTTGTTGTCGTGCTGCCTGTGCGTGTTGTCGTTCTAACTGCAGTTGCATCTGCAACTGCTGTAACTGAGAAGCGGAAGGGCCAGAGGAATTGAGCTGTCCTCCTGCAGAACGCCTCACGCCTGATAACTGAGATAAAAGCTCTGCAAAGAGGAGAAAAGTACTACTGTGAAATTTGCTTAAATTAATACTAACAAATGAGAGCACAAGTATTTCCTGTGCATCAATATCCCCATCTCTTATTTCTTTCTCAAATACTTTTTCATTACTTATCTCACAGATTGCCATATGGGCGCACAGTGCTTTACAAAACACTTAAGACACATTCCATTCCCCAAGCTCAAAGCATCATTTAGACTATTCATTTCTTTACTAAGATGAAGAAATTCTCAGTCTGAAATCGTTTGAACAATAAAAAGAAAGGGCATTTCCTAGAGATTATGGACTGACTACAAGGTGGTATCTTCAGTTGCCAGTTCCCTAAAATGTTATCTTCTAGGCAAAATGGCTGTTGCCTCAGCAACCATTTCAATTTTGGCTTAAGTTCATAGGTGCTCTCCCCCTCACTCCCCCTCTCCCACTCGCACACTATCTCCATGCTATACACGAGGGAAGCTGTACCGTAGAAAAGAAAAATGACACTTCTGACACTTCTGTCAGTTAGTTTTGGGGAATATTCAATTCAGAACATAGATTTCTACCATACCGTACATTGTGTAAGTTCTGTTGGGGTCACAAGATAGACAGTAAACTCGTTTTCCCTGAATTCAGATAAATAATATACTTACATTTGCCTGGCAGGTGTTAGTATGACTTCCCTCATACTGGCCTAATAAAGATGCCTACTGCTACAAGGGTAGTAAAGACCTGCCTAGATAAAGACATGTCTGGCTTTGGACAGGGCTAATATGGAATTGTTCAGTTTTAGGGGGATCCGAGTGGGAACTCTGGTGAGTTTTGTCTGTACAAAAAGGTATTTTCAAAAATAAACAGTGTAAAAAAAATACTGCCCATATGTTATGACAGAACCTATGTGCATTCAAAAAGCTTGTGGGAAGCGTTAGTCTGCCATTCAGTCTGAATGCAAACAGACGACGTTTCGTAATGTTTATCAATAATATCAAAATGTAGCTCATTTAATCTTGATTAACGCTGAAGTATAGCATTTTTGTGTGGAGTAAGGATTCAGATACAGTACCTAATCTTCCCCATGAGTAATTCTATACACATGACAAATACAAATTAGAAGAATTGAGGTAGATAATGGATTTTGAAAACACTGTTCACTTTTAAAATATATAACAATGCATGCAGGTAGGCTGTCTGAGGGGACTAGACCAGAGACCTTTGGAATTTAAAGGACCAGAGTTTTTAGATTCAGAGATCCTGGGTTCAATCCTTCTATACAACTCAACCAGGGGCTTGTTACTGAACTTTTAGTAAACTACTTTTTAAGACTCATAGATTTGGAAGCATCACCTCATATGACAATCTGTTTTTAACTTTCAACTTTACCTTGGAAGAAGGCACATTGCTATCAATAAAATCTTCTCATTTGGGGGAAGGGAGAGAAGGTCCTAGTGTGCGCGTGCGTGCACACACACACTAAATATGGACAAGCAGAGCAACCATTCTCTTGGATTTTGTCACTTCATGTGGAGAGAAACTCTAAAGGGAAAATAAGGAATTATGACTCTTACCAGCTATAGGATCCATAGCTTCCCTATTGCTTGGAGAATATGAACTCTGCGAAGATGAAAGCCCACCAGTGGAACTGCTAGTAAAGTGCATGTTTGATCTACGTGCGCGAGGGCCTCCCAAACCCCGGCCTGGGTGAAACATTCTACGCACATGCCGAACACCGCTGGACTCATCGTAACCAAACAGTTAAGAAAATACCAAATTGTTTGATAGAGTGTTAAATGCGAGAGCTTTACCAGCAGAATGGGCTTGGGGATGACACACTATTCTTCATACAGGTATTCAACTTCTTTGCCAAGTATAAAACAACTCAATCTTAATTATGCAACCAGAGCCTGTAGTGCCATAGTACATGGAACTCAAGACTTCTAGAGTTATTTGCACCAAGCGTCACTATTATTCTCATATTCACTCTCGGTTCCTCCTTGTCTGCAGAGAATCCTCCCTGAGACTTCTTGTTTGCTATATCATAAAGGTGTTTTCTAGATAATTTAAGAACCTCTGTTGCTTGTTTGGCTGTATTCAAACTCAACAGATGCGTGGGTAGTTACAATCCCCAAGTTCTGAATACTAAGTACCGAACATTGATCCAAGAAACTTCCTGGCTGCGGCAGGGAGTGGTGAGCCAAGAGCCTGTGGGGTGGAGGCAATCGGGCTCCTGGCACAGAGCTGCGTTTGGAGTGGAGAGCCCATGCACTGAGCCCCCCACATTACCCCTCTTAAGTAGGTGGAAGTGCTCCTGGTGAGGATGCACACCACTAACAGAAGGAGGGTAGTGTGGACATGAACCACGGCAGTAATTACCTATATTAGGACGACTTAAGTTTCTAGTGTAGACACTCAGTGTAAGCTTGAAAGTTTGTCTCCCTCACCAACAGAAGTTAGTCCAATAAAAGATATTACCTCACCCACCTTGTCTCTCTAATATCCTGGGACCAACACAGCTACAACACCAGTACATACAAAGACTTCCTAGTCTATTTTAATCACAGCCCTATACTAAAGATCTTCCAAATGATGCAGGTGTCCACTAAGGGATTCCGAGTGCAAACAGGAGCCATGGATTTCACACGCTTGCCTTTTGGTGACAAAAGGCACAATATTTTGGGAATTAGTCTTAGATGTAAACTGATAATACTCTAAAGCTCAGATCTGGATCTTAACTCTCCCAGAGTCCACAGGTGTTAAGAGCTCATGCTTCGATACAAGTGCAGCAAAGTAATATCAGGACATCACACAGCAGTGTTTTAATAGCTCCTTGACTTTGATAGCTCTCCTCCCTCTTTTCCACTGCTGACTGCTTGAAGAAATAGATGTTTCTCCTCAATGACCCTCTCCCCCAAGCCCTTAGTTACTGAGCAATAAGGAAAGGGAACCCAATGGCTCCAGTACGCCTGCACAATGCTCCCCAAGCTGTTGTGTTTGTAAGTGCATCATAAGGCAGTGTGAGCTTCCATCTTTAATTTTCTTAATGTCTAACACCTTCCAGATCAGATATGGACTATGCCTAGTTTAGAAACCAAAATATTCATTTTGTGAAGGTTAGCACTGCAACCTTAACTTACTATCTTAAAAGCAAGCTCTGATTTTTCTGGCTTTTCTTCACTGCTGGTAATAAATACTCTTTAATTGAAAATTAGCGAACAGTTTCATCAATATGTGAGGCAGCCTCAAATACTCTTTAGAACAGCTTGGGGGGGAGACACCTGAGGGGAGGGCAAGAAGAATACCAAAGGTGTACATTCTAATTCAACACCTCATTCACCACAATAAGAAGTTAACTTCAATGTGTAATTGGGACCATTTAAATGCTAACACTATAGGCAATCAAATAAAATCACAATAGAATTGCAACTATTACCTCAAACACTATCTACTCTCCTCCAGAATGAGAAACTTTTGATGGTTTTTTGAAAGAATACCTAACCTGAAAAAATGGATAAGTGACGTAAATTCACTCTTTCAATTAAAACATGATTATTAAAATTTCTTTTAGAGATATAGAAACATTTTATGATAATTATAAATGCTTTAATCCTATTATCAGCAACTATTCTATGTGTATTTCACTGTATAGAGTAATTATAATGAACTCTCAATATGCTGTAGGAAGTTGCCCAGCAAAAAAATTAAATTAGAACAAAGTTATCACATTAATTGACGCAAAAGAAAATAAATGGAAATATGTTTCTACAGAGCAGTACGTATTGAGAGGGCGGGGAGGGATAGCTCAGTGGTTTGAGCATTGGCCTGCTAAACCCAGGGTTGTGAGTTCAATCCTTGAGGGGGCCATTTAGGGAACTGGGGTAAAAATCTGTCTGGGGATTGGTCCTGCTTTGAGCAGGGGGTTGGACTAGATGACCTCCTGAGGTCCCTTCCAACCCTGATATTCTATGGTTCTATGAGAGCTGTTTCAGCTCTTCAGTCAGCAGAAAAACAGGATAAATCCCTACAATCTATACACAAGCTAATGAAAAATCAGCCCAAAGTTACAAGGAATCTCCTGTTAACTTCTCTAATTATCATAAAAATGCCATCAAAAAGCATGAAAGTATCCCATTAAAAATGGCAATATATAGCTGAAGTAAAATTTTTAAAAGTCGCTCATCAAAATCAACCCACAGCCACCTCTCAACCCCTCAAAAAATTGTTTATGGTATAAACTGATTCATCATGTTTGGTGTGTAATTATTTGCAATGTACTGGTGCATTTATATTACTGCTTTGGACCAGTGGTTTTCAACATGGGGTCTGCAAACTATATCTAAGATTTCCAAAGGGGTCTGCACCTCCATTTGAAATTTTTTAGGGCTCCGCAAATGAAAAAAGGTTGAAAACCGCTGCTTTAGACAGATACTGTCAGCAGGCAATTTTATTTACATCTATTTGTTGGTTTTCAAAAACACTAGCAACTTCGTTTTTTTATTGGTAGTACATTTAATTCTACTGTAGCTCTTTCATATCCTGGTTTTCCAACAACTAAACTAAGTGGCAGTTCTGAGAGGCTAGTGGAATTAAAATGCCACAACTTGCTTGTAAAATCAAAACAAGTAGTTAATATTATATGCAATACAATCCCGCCTTTTTACTTGACTTGAGAAAGGATATTAAATCTCTAGGAGCTCTGTGTTCCAGTGTAAGATGTGCTGCAAAGTCATCTGTGACATGATTAGGATCCCCTCCAGGTAACGCTGCACATATTGGACAAATCTGAAATGACAAAGTCAGAAAAACGAGTTTAACAACTTCACAAAACAGCAACATGCATTCATCATTCTTGGCTGATCTCTTAACAATAAGAAACTATTATGCTTTAATAAACAAATTCTAATGCTGCATATATGTAGCCACAGGTAAAAAGTAGTTTAAAAAAAAAAAAAAGAGTGTTCAAGAAGCACTATTAGCTTAACTAGTTTAAAAATAAATTAAATAAATAAATAAAAAACCCAACAACATTGTGTTCCCCTCTTAGGGCTTGTCTACACTGGCACTTTACAGCGCTGCAACTTTCTCACTCAGGGGTGTGAAAAAACACCCCCCTGAGCGCAGCAAGTTTCAGTGCTGTAAAGCGCCAGTGTAAACAGTGCCCCAGCGCTGGGAGCTACGTCCCTCGTGGAGGTGGGTTTTTTAGAGCGCTGGGAGAGTTCTCTCCCAGAGCTCTGCCGCGACTAACAAGCCATGTTAAAGCGCTGCTGCGGCAGCACTTTAGCGTTGCCAGCGTAGACTAGCCCTAAGTTATGTTTTTAGTAACACCCTAGAAACCCAATGCGAAATTTATTTTCAAATCAGATTTGTAACTCTCTGGTTTTACAATTTGTTTTCATATGCTAATTTCTATGCAGATAGAGAGGGTTTGTTTACACATGTTGCTAACAGCTCACATGCACCAAACATGGCGACATCACCTTGTTCATTCTTTGCTCTTGAAAGCCAGAGGCACTCTCTCCCATTCATTCCATAGGAAGAGTGAGAATAAAACTACTCCAAAAGGGAATATTTGTAACATATCACTGTTGGATAGCATCTGAACAGGCTGCCTCCCATAACAACATTTATCTACTATCTTCAAACTATCTACTCTAGACTTCCCCCGTCCCAAATTTTTTTCCACCGTTGCAGTGAAGTAATGAAGGTGGGGTGGAGGGCAGGATAACAGGATAGCTAAAGAGCAGGAATCCCCTGGAACTCTTCCAGCAATGCGCAATGGAGCACGTACATCTTCAACCCCAAGGGAAAGGTTTTTACTCTACATACGTCCTAGTCCTCAAGAAGATGGGAAGTTAGAGACCTATCCTTGATCTCCACAATCTCAACCACTTTATTTGCAAGATGAGATTTTGCATGGTCACACTTCAATAATCCCATCCCTGGAGAAAGACACATGGTTTATAGCTCTCAATATGAATCATAGGACTGGAAGGGACCTCGAGAGGTCATCTAGTCCAGTCCCCTGCACTCATGGCAGGACTAAGTAATAACTAAACCATCCCTGACAGGTGTTTGTCTAACCTGCTCTTAAAAATCTCCAATGATGGAGATCCACAACCTCCCTAGGCAATTTATTCCAGTGCTTAACCACCCTGACAATTAGGAAGTTTTTCTTAATGTCCAACCTAAACCTCCCTTGCTGCAATTTAAGCCCATTGCTTCTTGTCCTATCCTCAGAAGTTAAGAATAATAATTTTTCTCCCTCCTCCTTGTAACAACCTTTTATGTATTTGAAAACTGTTATGTCCCCTCTCAGTCTTCTCTTCTCCAGACTAAACAAACCCAATTTTTTCAATCTTCCCTCATAGATCATGTTTTCTAGAACTTTAATAATTTTTGTTGCTCTTCTCTGGACTTTCTCCAATTTGTCCACCTCTTTCCTGAAATGTGGCGCCCAGAACTGGACACAATACTCCAGTTGAGACCTAATCAGTGTGGAGTAGAGCGGAAGAATTACTTAGAATCATAGAATATCAGGGTTGGAAGGGGCCTCAGGAGGTCATCTAGTCCAACCCCCTGCTCAAAGCAGGACCAATCCCCAACTATTTTTTTCTCATGTCTTGCTTACAACACTCCTGCTAATACATCCCAGAATGTACGTTTGCTCTTGAAAGCCAGAGGCACACGTTTGGTAACATGTTACACTGTTGACTCATACTTAACTTGTGATCCACTATGACCCCGAGATCCCTTTCCACAGTACTCCTTCTTAGCCAGTCATTTCCCATTTTGTACGTGTGCAACTGATTCTTCCTTCCTAAGTGGAGGAGTACTTTGCATTTGTCCTTATTGAATTTCATCCTATTTACTTCAGACCATTTCTCCCGTTTGTCCAGATATTTTGACTTTAATCCTATCCTCCAAAGCACTTGCAACCCCGAAATCATTGATGAAGATATTGAACAGAACCGGACCCAGAACTGATCCCTACGGGACCCCACTTGTTATGCCCTTCCAACATGACTGTGAACCACTGATAACTACTCTCTGGGAACGTTTTTCCAACCAGTTTTGCACCCACCTTATAGTAGCTCCATTTAGGTTGCATTTCCCTAGTTTGTTTATGAGAAGGTCATGTGAGACAGTATCAAAAGCCTTACTAAAGTCAAGATATACCACGTCTACCGCTTCCCCCCCATCCACAAGGCTTGTTACCCTGTCAAAGAGAGCTATCAGGTTGATTTGACACAATTTATTCTTGACAAATCCATGCTGACTGTTACTTATCACCTCATTATCTTCTAGATGTTTGCAAATTGATTGCTTAATTATTTACTCCATTATCTTTCCGGGTACAGAAGTTAAGCTGACTGGTCTGTAATTCCCTGGGTTGTCCTTATTTCTCTTTTTATAGATGGGCACTATATTTGCCCTTTTCCAGTCTTCTGGAATCTCTCCAGTCTTCCATGACTTTTCAAAGATATGGCTCAGATATCTCCTCAGTCAGCTCCTTGAGTATTCTAGGATGCATTTCATCTGGCACTGGTGACTTGAAGACATCTAACTTGTTCAAGTAATTTTTAACTTGTTCTTTCCCTATTTTAGCCTCTGATCCTACCTCATTTTCACTGGCATTCACTATGTTAGATGTCCAATCAGCGCCAACCTTCTTGGTGAAAACCGAAACAAAGAAGTCATTAAGCACCTCTGCCATTTCCACATTTTCTGTTATTGTCTTCCCCCACCTCATTGAGTAATGGGCCTACCCTGTCCTTGGTCTTCCTCTTGCTTCTAATGTATTCATAGAATGTTTTCTTGTTACCCTTTATGTCTCTAGCTAGTTTGATCTCCTTTTGTGCCTTGGGCCTGGTCTACACTATGAGTTTAATTCGAAGTTAGCAGCATTAAATTGAATTAACCCTGCACCCGTCCACACAACAAAGCCATTTATTTCGAAATAAAGGGCTCTTAAAATCAATTTCTGTACTCCTCCCCGACGAGCGGAGTAGCGCAGAAATTGATATTGCCATTTCGAATTAGGGTTAGTGCAGCCGCAATTCGATGGTATTGACCTCCGGGAGCTATCCCACAGTGCACCATTGTGACCACTCTGGACAGCAATCTGAACTCGGATGCACTGGCCAGGTAGACAGGAAAAGCCCCACGAACATTTGAATTTTATTTCCTGTTTGCCCAGCGTGGAGAGCACAGGTGACCACAGAGAGCTCATCAGCACAGGTAACCATGCAGGCTGATAATCAAAAAAGAGCACCAGCATGGACCGTACGGGAGGTACTGGATCTGATCGCTATATGGGGAGAGGATTCATTGCTAGCAGAACTTCGTTCGAAAAGACGAAATGCCAAAACTTTTGAAAAAATCTCCAAGGGCATGATGGAGAGAGGCCACAATAGGGACTCAGATCAGTGCCGTGTGAAAGTCAAGGAGCTCAGACAAGCCTATCAAAAAACAAAGGAGGCAAACGGTCGCTCCGGGTCGGAGCCGCGGACATGCCACTTCTACGCTGAGCTGCATGCAATTCTAGAGGGGGCCGCCACCACTACCCCACCTCTGACCGTGGATTCCAAGGTGGGGGTAATCTCATCAGCCACACCTGAGGATTCTGTGGATGGGGAAGAGGAGGAAGAGGAGGACGACGACGAGCTTGCGGAGAGCACACAGCACTCCGTTCTCCCCAACAGCCAGGATCTTTTTCTCAGCCTGACTGAAGTACCCTCCCAAGCCAGTATCCAAGACCATGATCCCATGGAAGGGACCTCAGGTGAGTTTACCTTTTAAAATATAAAACTTGTTTTAAAAGCAAGCGTTTTTTAATGATTACTTTGCCCTGAGGACTTGGGATGCATTCGCGGCCAGTACAGCTACTGGAAAAGTCTGTTAACGTGTCTGGGGATGGAGCGGAAATCCTCCAGGGACATCTCCATGAAGCTCTCCTGGAGGTACACCAAAAGCCTTTCCACAAGGTTTCTGGGCAGTGCAGCCTTATTCCGTCCTCCATGGTGGGACACTTGACCACGCCATGCTAGTAGCAAGTAATTTGGTATCATTGCATGACAAAGCCTGGCAGCGTATGGTCCCGGTGTTTGCTGGCATTCAAGCAACATCCGTTCTTTATCTCGCTGTGTAATCCTCAGGAGAGTGATATCGCTCATGGTAACCTGGTTGAAATACGGGAATTTAATTAAGGGGACAGAGATGGCTGTTCCTACTGGGCTGTTTGCCTGTGGCTGAAAAGAAATCCTTCCCTGCAGTTAGCCTAGCGCGGGGGGGGGGGGGGGGGGGGGGGGGGGGGAGAATTGGCCCTGGGCTTTTCCCATTTGGCTAGCAGGGATCTTCCCTGATACCAGCCACGTGGTGGGGGAAGGGATAAAGTGATCATCCAGAGAATTGGATGGGGGGGGGGTAGTTTGTTTTCTGCTGCTGAAGGTTAACGGGAAAACCGCAGCACTCAACAGGCTTTGCTTGGTATGTGGGAAAGGAGGGCGCAGAAGCCGAAAGACAATGGCTTACCATGGCCACATGCAAGCCGAATTCTGTTGCCCGGACCTGCGTCTGTGATCTCTAGCAGCAAAGCCACAGGCACTCAATATTAAGAGGCAAAAAATTCGGATTAATCCCGTAGTGTAGACATACCCTTGGCCTTTCTAATTTTGTCCCTACATACTTGTGTTATCTGTTTATATTCATCCATTGTAATTTGACCTAGTTTCCACTTTTTGTAGGACTCTTTTTTGATTTTTAGATGAAGGACGCTTACTTTA